CACTGGTTTTAGTATAAAGACTAAAATCTTCAAGGTGGCCTCCAGGGCCCTGTACAGTCTGGCTTCCATCTGCTGCCTCCTCACTGATCACACAACCTCTTTTTTCTTCCCATCTGAGCCATGCTGGCCTTTCAGTCCCCAACACCTCTACCCATCTGCCACAGGGGATTTACTGCAAGGCTGTGCACAGCTCCTGAGGCAGATGAACAGGGGAGGGCCGCGGTGGGGGCCAGGGCAGCTCCAGGTACCAAAAGTAGGAGAACAGTGAAGTCTCATCAGGGCACCACTACTGGGAACGACCGCCTCCAACTACCCCTGCCTCTGCACCACTCTGCCCATGATCCAAAGCCCCAGAGGACAGTTCAATGAGCTGGCTCAGGTCACATGCCCATCCCTTGGCCAGGGTACCTGCAATAAAAGTCTCAATAAACCTTTATCGATGAAGAGAAATCCCCCAAAGAAAACTGGGAGTTCTTACCAGAAGGAGGAGGAATGGGTGCAGGGTCGCCCCAAATCAACAAATATCCACTAACCACATTTCCCACTACCTAGACTGATTTCCTGTCCTTTCTTTGTTAGTTAACACTACTTAAGTTTTAGATTCCAGCCCAACGTCCTTTCATTAAAGAATCCTTCCTTCACCTTCCCAAGGGAGTCAAAGTTCTCTATTCTGTCATTTTATAGCACTATAAGCTCTCCTTCATAGCACTTGCCACTGCTGTATTTTACATTTATTTGTGAATGTTTGAATAACATCCATGTCTCCCAATTGGCTAAATAGCCTATGAGAGCAGAGCCCATATATGTTTGGCTTACTATGATAGCTTTAGTGCCTAGCACAGTGCCTGGCAAAGCAAAGACATCAAACAAACATTCATTTAATGTGTGAATCAAGCCATAAAGATATTTCTTTTCCCAGTGATATGAATTATGCCACTCCCCTCTTAGAAGGCAAAAGGAGCTAAATTTTAAACAATTTTTTCCAATTCATACTTTATTACATAAGTTATTTACTCTTTACAATAATGCCACAGGAGCTCACTTTATACATAAAGAAACTGAGGCACAGAGAGTTAGGGAATTTTTTCAAAATCACATACCTGGTAAATGATCCACGTGGGATACAAACCCAGGTCTGATTCCAAAACTCAAGTTCAAATCCACCATATGGTGTCATATACCAATTTCACCTCAAAAAAAAAAAGTGGTTGAGGTAAAAAAAATATATATTTTAAATTATATAATTATATAAGCTATATAGTTATATAAAATTCTTCCTCCTAGCTCCAAAAGAAGCTATTTAGAATTGCTACTAATTTTTAAAACAATCTGGAGAGATTGTTCAACATGTTTAGTTTCAGACCTTCAGATAAAAATCCAGAATACCGAACATTTCATTGATTGTTCAAGAAAAGCATTAAATCCATGGTTAAATCACAATAAAACAACACCTGGATGATTCACAGTTTAGCACTTTTATAGTTAAATAAAGGTACATAACTTCTAGTTCTGTTTTTCAGTAAGAAATCTAGACAAAGTAGAATGTCTTCTCTATCTCTTCTTACAGTATAATTGAAGGTAAAACTAATATTTGGGAATTAAAGAAGTTAAAATTATTACTTAAATGTGAGGTATTTGATATTACTTTTCCTTTTTTTTTTTTTTTTTTTTTTTTTTTTTTGCGGTACGCGGCCCTCTCACTGTTGTGGCCCCTCCCGTTGCGGAGCACGGCTCAGCGGCCATGGCTCACGGGCCCAGCCGCTCCGCATCATGTGGAATCTTCCCGGACCGGGGCAAGAACCCGTGTCCCCTGAATCGGCAGGCGGACTTTTCCTTTTTTTTAAATAGATTTTATTTATTTTATTTTTGGCTATGTTGGGTCTTCGTTGCAGCGCGCAGGCTTTTCTCTGGTTGTGATGAGCAGGAACTACTCATCATTGCGGTGCGTGGGCTTCTCATTGAGGTGGCTTCTCTTGTCACAGAACACAGACTCTAGGCGTGCGGGCTTCAGTAGTTGTGGCTTGCGGGCACCAGAGCACGGGCTCAGTAGCTGTGGTGCACAGGCTTAGTTGCTCCGCGGCATGTGGGATCTTCCCAGACCAAGGCTCGAACCCGTGTTCCCTGCATTGGCAGGCGGATTCTTAACCACTGCGCCACCAGGGAAGCCCCTTACTTTTCAATTATAACTACCAGAGTAATAGTGGTCAATTATTACTCACTAGCACACTATTTAAATTTAGTAAAATACAACACCCATTAACAATGGAATGCTTTCCTTTTTACCTCCCTGTAAAATATGCTGTTATTTATTAAATAGAGGTATTCATTTTGGCACTTTAAGGTCAGTTGACTTTCTTCATACAAATTTTAATACTACCTTCTCTTTTGAATGTTTAGATGAATATAATTAATCTTTCCTACTGTTCAAGAAATCAAAACATATTTTATATCAGCATTTTAATGAGCTTTGCTTTAATGATTAATTCAATGTGAAGTTAGTCTATACCTGAGTTATGAAAATATAAAATAATTATTCAGATGCTTGAGTTAGGGGTACAATGATAGTCAAGTATAACAAAATGCTGTTTAATTAAACTTATCTAGTGGGAACTTTCAATTAAGCTTTCATTTTGTTTTCGAGAACCAGAGGAGGGAAGAAGGGAATATTATCAGGTAAGGCAGAATAAAACAGTTTTAACCTTCATCTTTTGTCCTGAGGAATTTCAGGCCTTCCTGAACTAGTGGCTTTAAAAAAAAATCCTTCAATAGTTTAGGTAGACCATGAATAGTCTCATTGATGCCATATCCCAAAATGAACAATCTTAACTTACCTAAATTTCACAAATCTAATAATAACATTCTCCACCTTTCTCCTAACAGGGAGCTGAAAATCACTCCAAGGCTTAACAGAGACAGTTAATACAGTAGTCTGGGAATAAAAGCTGCAGAAAGGTGGACATTTACAGCTATTACACTCGACAGCTAAAAGGGGTGAGAAGACATTTGAGCTTCTTAGCGAAGTTATTATAACTTTTGGTAGTCAATCACAGGCCTCTGTAGTATTCCTCAATGAGATTATTTAATTATAATTTAACCACTTCTTTAAAGGATTCAGGAAGTTTTCAATTTACACGCAAACACATAATTAAGACAAATACAGACACACATGTTTATGAACATGCGCACACATATACACTCCATGGAACAAGTAAAAATAAATTTAGATTAAAGTACCGGAAACCAAGCAGAAGAGGGGCACAGATGAGCTGTCAATTTCCTGCGGTGGTGGTGGAGGAGGTGATGATGGTGGCAGCTGTTATTGCTTGGTTTCCTGCTATGACTAGTCATGATGCTAGGAATTTTACTGGCTGAGGGGCTCACCATGTTTGAACATTACATTCATTAGGCTCTAAGAGTCTTGTATCCAAGTCAAAGGGAGAAAATAGGCAAAAGGTGAATATAATTTAATTTGAATTATAAATTAATTTTTAAATCTGAATTTAAAAACAGAACCGTAATTCATGGCAAGAAACAATCTGCTTATATGTAGTTTGAATATCACAGACTGTCACCTTTCTTACTGAATTTTCATAGATATCCCTGAATAGATGTTTCTTCATTTGTTGTTTGTCCTAAGGGCCATTTCCAGAAGCTTTAACTTAAAAAAATAATAACATTCACTGGAGAGTGTGGTCACTGGAGTTCCCATGCCACCTTGCTGGAGGTCCATCTCTTCAGAGTACTTTTTAATGGATACATTTCATGTTCTGAAACATACAAACATTGAAGGTATCTCAGAAATGTACTTGGGTTTTATAAATGTCATGATTTATTCTAGACCCAGACAAATTCCAGTTGGACTTTTTGTCCTGCAGTAATCAATTTACATACTAGGTTCAATTTGGGCAATTTAGGTGATTTATTCCAATAGTACAAAAAATACACTTGCTGTGCAATCCAAGGATGGCCAAATCTACCACGGGCCTATCTCAAAAAGCAATGACCATGAAAAGTGACTGCCTCTCTTCCTCTTTGTTGGATTCAAATTCAATAGCTCTAGACTTGTTTGTTTTCATTAGAGCTAGGAAAAGAATTTAGCTTCATTTTAATCAATACACCTAGCTTTTTTTCTACCTAAAAAAAAAAAAAAAAACTAAAACAAAAACCAACCAAAACTATTGTATGGTATTGCCTCTCCACGACACTAGTTATCTCTTTAACATAAAGGCCTTAGAGATAGAACTCATTCATCTGTAAAACTGGTTTTCAAACAAGTTCATTTTCATATAAATCTAGATAGGCCATAAAAGTTAGTTTACTTTGTAAAATACTAATCCATGGAGAGAATAAAGCAAATGAAATAAAAACTCTGGGCAGATGCCATTTGACAAAGCATTATAATGCTTACCAAATGTTTAGCTTCTGTCATTCATGATAACTGAACATGAGTGAAGGAACAGAATTTGGTGGAGATGCGATCATTTAAGGTAACCTACTCCCTCAATTTCATCTACAGATTATATAAAGCATTTTGACTTAGCCACAAAGGCTTCACCATTTCAGTGTTATTTCTTGGTAATGAGGGGACGTTGGAAAAGTAACACAAGGAATGATTTCAGTTCTCAGGATTTACTAGAGAAGGCACTGAGGTGAGATCAGCTACTGGAGAACACAGATCTCACTGGGAAAAGAAAAGTAAAACCAGCAAATGTAAGGAAGAATGTATCTTCAGGTCAGTCAGAGCAATAAGACAGCCAAGATGCACGTGAGGAGACAGTAAGGATAATAAGGCAGGCTATCATTTTCTCTTTTATTGCATGCTGGAGTCCCCAAACCTGCTAAAGACATGATTACAGGTAACAGCAGCAGTGGTGTTCCCTAGAGGTCTCATGTGTTTTGAGGAGTGGGGGCTATAAACTGACAGTACCAGACAAGGGAACTAAGTCATCTAATATGTCTTCTAGAAATGTAATGAGTTTGACTGATGTGGCTTTCTGTGCTTAACGTGTAAGAGGTTGTGCCAACTCATGGATCCTCGGAGAACACTGTGCTTTCAAAGCAGCTGGCTTGACTTTAAAGACTTCTGGATCGTAATATACAATATGCACAGGAGTCCTGAAATGGAAAAAAGGATTTGACCTAAAATAAGATGAACAGAAAAGGGAAGTAACATTTCTCAGGCATCCACTATGTGTTAGGCACTATATTATCTCATTTTGATTTTCTTAAGCACCACATAAAACAGGTATCATGACCTCCACTATACATATAAGGAAATGAAGGCTCAGGGACGTTGTAAGAGTGACCTGTGGTCAAGTCTAGATGTGTATATGTGTCAGATTCCGAAGGCTTTCCTCTTTCCATAGAAGGTAAATTCTGGAAATTTCTCAATAATTTGACGATTTTAAAACAATGCAGACAATCCACTGGTGAATTAAAGAAATCAATTTTTTGAAGTTTTCATCCTTAACACCTTAACCACCAAATAATAATCTTGCTACCAGGATAGACTCTTGAGCACTTGATCTTACTCCTCACTTTCCTTTGTCAGTGTACAGAGAATGAGTGTCATTTCATTTGATGTTGAACTTTTTTTTTTAAGGAAAAACACATTATAAAAATTTTAAAAATCTGGACTTCCCTGGTGGTGCAGTGGTTAAGAATCCGCCTGCCAATGCAGGGGACATGGGTTCGAGCCCTGGTCCCGGAAGATCCCACATGCTGCGGAGCAACTAAGCCCGTGCACCACAACTACTGAGCCTGCGCTCTAGAGCCTGCGAGCCATGACTACTGAAGCCCGAGCGCCTAGAGCCCGTGCTCCACAACAAGAGAAGCCACGGCAATAAGAAGCCCGCGCACCGCAACAAAGAGTAGCCCCTGCTCGCTGCAGCTAGAGAAAGCCCACGCACAGCAACAAAGACCCAAGGCAACCAAAAATAAATAAATTTATTAAAAAAATAAAATTAAAATTAAAAAAAAATTTTTTAAATATTTTATTATATAAGACCGAACACATTTCCTATTCCCTGAGCTCAAGACTACTACTTTTTCAGTTAGGTTTTCTTGACGGTGCTTTTAAAAGGGGATCAGGTATTATCCCTTGAAGGTAACAAAATGAATTGAGGTTCAGGCAAGTTGAGAGGTCTTCTAAAAAATGAATAGGAATTAGAGGCAATTTCTTCTTTGTTGAGTATATTTCCCGATTTATTTGAAATAGTTCATACATATACATGATGCAAAAACATTGAAAAATACAAAAGCCTATTTAGTAAAAAATAAGTCTTCCTACCATCCCGGCTCCCTAGGCCCCCAAAGTAGCCATTGTTACTAGCTCCTTACATACTCCTGTGAGATAGTATAGGCATATGTAAGCAAATATATGGCATATATGTATTTTTTTCTTACACAAATTACAACATATTATGTTTCTGTTCTGCAACTTATTAGATCAATATATGTTAGATAAATAATCCTTATCAATATATGTTAGATAAATAATCCCATATCCATAATTACAGAGTTGTCTCCTAGGTCTAAAGTTCAATACTAGTCCACTAACCCTTTAACTGTAGCCTTATATTTATGGTAAGAAGACCATAGATTTGTCAAAATAAATGTAACAAATAAGATGATTTTTTAAATTTTTACTATTTCTATGATTCATTTCACTGACCTTAATAGGTCAACTTTTCCCTGTCCCTAGCACCCCCCTGCCTTTCCTGTCCCATCTTAGCCTTAGATTGACATACCTTGTATTTGGATTAGCTAGTTCTTGAATTCTGGGAGATATCTTGGAATGGATAGCAGCACAAGACACTGGCCAGTAGGCATCACGGGGAGGTAAATAATCTTGATGAAGAGGCCTGGCCTTAGCTAGAGCTAGTATTCGAGGGCTAGGTTTGGCGAGCAAGGCAGCACAGGATATCTATAGTGGAAAACAAAACGACACAAAAACATATCTCAAATTTCACCACATCTCCCTCTCTTTTCAACTATAGCCCTAATCGAGTCACCATCCTTTCTCTCCTGGATTACTGTAACAGACTCTCCTAACTGATCTCCCTGCTTCCATTCTCACTCCTCCACAACCCAGCCTTCACACAGCAGTTACTGAGGGAGAGAAGGAGCATTTTACAAGTGTATTCCATGCGCTAGACAGTGTTCTCAGCGATCTGCCTAAATCATTCCCATGCAATCACTGTAACAACTTCATGAGGGAAGTACTTTCCAAGGCCCAAGCCAGATCATGTCACTCCCAGTGTTTAAAATCTTCCAGTGGCTTTCCATTTTGCTAAGAATAACACTTAGGTTCCTTACCGTGGCCTAGAAGGCCCTACATGATCTGCCTACTATACCCTCCTCTAACCTCACCTTCCTCCCAACCCCACCTCAATCACTATGACCCTAGCCACACAAGGCCCCTCTGGCCAGGCTCTTTCCACCTCAGGACATTTGCACTTACTAGTTCTGCTTGAAACCCTCTTTCCTCAATCTTGTCATGGCTGCCTCTTCGTCATTCAAGTCCCTAGACTCAAACATCACATCCTCAAGGAGTTCTTCCCTGACCATCCAACATATATCAGGCTTTCTAATTACCCTCTTCCACAGTACTTATTTAATCTTCTTCATAGCACTTAACAACACCTGACTTAGCTCATTTATTTCATTGTTGGTTATGTTTACTGTCTGTTTCTCCCCACCAGAATATAAGCCGCTTGAGAGAAGTACTTGTTTGCCAAAAGCTAGACTAGGCTCTGGTGCATAACTGGTGCTGAATAAATATATTCTGACTGACTGACTCATCAACTCCCTTCGGTCTTACTTTGGAAACCACATCTGCCAGGAGGCCTTTCTATTATGTTGCTTTACTGGTAAAATATGAAAGATGACATATAGCTACTATTCTCTCTCTCAAGTGCTCATTCAAAAGAATGAGGACCACAGCAAACACCACTCAGTAGCCCTGAAAATGTTCTATATTTGCACTGATACAGATTAGTTTGGGTTCTCAGAGTATGATTATGTGCCATGGTATCACTTTTTTAAAGGATTTTTAAAAACCCCTGAACAATCCACTGAGTGTGCCAGGCTCTGTGCTGAGCACCTGCCTTATCTATTATCACAAGTCGTAACAGCCCTGAAACTGGGAACTGTTATCTTCACAATCCCCCTGCTCACCTTGCTCCACCCAACTTCAAAGCTATCCTACTTGAGGACTTTGTCATGTGCTCTTTCCTCTACTAGAACATTATCTTCTCAGATCTTCACTTAGCTGACTCCTCATTATTCAGGTTTCAGCTCAAATATCCCTTCCTTAAGAGAGGCTTTCCCTGACTACCGTATGCAAAGAAGCTTATTCTCCACCCCCAGCCATAGTCACTCATTTCCCATTTTATTTTATTTTATTTTTCCATTTTATTTTCTTCATAGCACTTACCACTACCTGACATTATCTTATCTGTTTCCTTATTTATTTTCTGTCTCCCTCCATCTTGTTCACTGGGCACAGTGCCGGGCACACAGTAGAGATTCAAATCCTTATTGAATGAATAACGCTCAGGAAGGTTATTACAACATCACAGAACTAGTAGTGGTGAGGCAGGAATTTGAACCCAGCTCTTACTGACTCCAAAGTCCATGCTCTTCACCCTCTACCTGCAGCCTCTTTCCATATCTTGCAGCTAGGTCTTCCTTCCTGCCACAGACCACTCTTTCAAGGTCTTCTTTTCCAATGACTTTGGTCTATACCCTATAGAAGCAAAACAATACCCTAGGAACAAACAGAAAGTGAGCTGAAGGATGCCAAGGTAGTGATGGCTTACAGGACGGATGGGCATTTCACTTCTTTCTCTTTCAAAGCACAGACCCTCTATCTTAATCCTTGGATGGGCAAGGTCTACAGTTCTTGGAGTTGCAACAGCAGTCAGGGCAGACGTCGCAATTTTGGTTTCAGTCTAGGGGAGAAAAAGAAAACAGTACCTGTAAGCATCAAACAATAAACACTATCGCAATCAAAGTTACAAAGTAGTATCTGACCACTGGACCAGACTTCTCAGTAAATCCAGCAAAAAGGATGAGAATACTGCAGTAACCTATGATCATAGCTGAAAGGATCAGTTTCCATCCTTCTCAAACTAGGTTGTATAAATTCCAACCCAGATTTTTTGGAACTTACTGTTAAACTAAAGATGGGGAGAAAATGACAAGTACACAAATGGACTAAGAGATAAATGGCAATGCTGATTACTAGAACAATAAACTCAGCCAAGAGGGAAGTTCTCAGCCCTATCACATGAGAACACTATAAGGGGGAGAGCTCTGCTTTGTTCTTAATTATCTTGCCCTTTGGAAATTGGAATTCACATTATTACAAATCCCCATGCTTAAAATGAACTTAAGTAGCTCTCTTCTAATTGGAATGGACAATACAAAGTAACCAAAGACAAGAGGGAGAAAGGCAGAACAGAACCATATCTCCATAGACAATGTTGTACTGGTCCCCCAAGACACTCCTCACTACCTTAATTGTGGAAATGTGTTCAAATTACATGGTCTTCTATTTAAATTACTTATAACCAAACTCAAAACTTACCACAAAACTTTGAGGGGGGAATATAATCAATAACTGGAAATAAAATCGGGTTTTAACTGTGGGTAGAAAAGTAACACACAAGGTATGTTCCAAACCCCTTCTTATGTTGTTTAAAATGATGACGATGGACTTCCTTGGTGGCTCAGTGGTTAAGAATCTGCCTGCCAACGCAGGGGACACAGGTTCGAGCCCTGATCCTAGAAGATCCCACATGCTGCGGAGCAACTAAGCCCGTGTGCCACAACTACTGAGCCTGCACTACTGAGCTCACGTGCCACAACTACTGAAGCCCGCGTGCTTAGAGCCTGTTCTCTGCAACAAGAGAAGCCACTGCAATGAGAAGCCTGTGCGCCACAACGGAGAGTAGCCCCCGCTCTCTGCAACTAGAGAAAGCCTGTGCCCAGCAATGAAGATCCAACACAGTCAAAAATAAAGAAAGAAAGAAAGAAAAATGATGACGATGATGATACTAACACAGACAGTATGTTACACCTATTAATTCATTTATTCCTCACCTGGGTATCATTTTTATTTCTATCTCACTAATGGAGAAACCAAGGTATTGTGAAGTTTGGCATTTTGTTTAACTTTATATAGTTTGTAAGTGGCAGAGCTGGGATTCAAACAAAGGTCCTATCTATCTACACAATACCATGAAGTACTAATCAAGCATTTCCAATGAATAAAGCTTTGTCTCCTATCAGGCTCTTGGAAAATCAAAAAAATATATGACAACCAGTGCCTTCAATTAAGGCTTACAATCAAAAAGGAAATAAAACAATCATTCATTAATTCGTTATACAATTATCTCTTAATTATATTATGTAAGACAAAACAAAGAATAATAAACCAGTACCTTTCCTTAAAGTAGTTTTCAACTTAGAAGGAATCATAAACCTATAAGCAAACCACTGATTATTTGATCTCCATAAAAGAGAATAAAGTTTTGAGGAATATCAGAGGAAATGTGGGAGAATCCAAGAAGAATTCTCTTTTCATGGATAAAGAGATATTAAATTGGGCCTTGAAGGAAGGATCAGATTCTGACAAGTAGAGGGAGGAGAAAAGATAGGGAGAATGAAGGAAGGAAGATTGAAGGGAAAGTCTGGACACAGAAGCAAGGAGGCATGGAGCAGATTGTGTCTGGTTAGGCAGGGAGATCAGGCTTGCAAATACATCTGAAACTAGGTTAGATGTGGAGGGCACTGCTCACAGCTAGCGAAGAACCATGAAATCTTTTCACTGGAGAGGAAGCATGGTCAGGGCTGGAGATTAATCTGTCAGGCATGTGGGAGAAAGACTGAAGCGGGAAGCCAGAAGGACAATAAGAAAGTTATGGCCAAAAGAAGAAAAGGGTATACATAACCTACCCTATTCTAATATATATATATATATATATTTTAATAAATTTATTTATGGGTATACATAACCTACCCTATTCTAATATATATATTTTTAAAATAAATTTATTTATTTATTTTTGGCTGCATTGGGTCTTCGTTGCTGCACGTGGGCTTTCTCTAGTTGTGGCGAGTGGGGGCTACTCTGTGTTGCAGTGCGCGGGCTTCTCATTGCAGTGGCTTCTCTTGTTGCGGAGCATGGGCTCTAGGTGCACAGGCTTCAGTAGTTGTGGCGCACAGGCTTAGTTGCTCTGTGGCTTGTGGGATCTTCCCAGACCAGGGCTCGAACCTGTGTCCCCTGCATTGGCAGGTGGATTCTTAACCACTGCGCCACCCGGGAAGCCCTAAAATATTTTTAAATTTACAATAATTTAAGCAAAATGATACTTGCATAAAAATAGATCAGTATAACCAAATAGAGAATTCAGAAATATTATCTAGTACAGTGGTTCTCAATTTTTTTGGTCTAGAGCCCATTTACACTTTTTTTTAATTGAATAAATTTGATGTGTAACATTCTTTACCCTCTTAAAAAGTGACTGAGGGCTTCCAAAGACTGAGACATTTAAGAACATTTATTATTTCAAGTAAAAAGAACCCATTACATGGAAATACAAATATTTTTTATGACGAAGAACTATATTTTCCAAAACAAAAAAAATTGTGACAAGACTGATAGGTTTACATTTTTGCAAATCTCTTTAATATCTGGTTTAAGAAGACACTATTTTTTGGTTGAAGTATATGAAGAAAATCCAGTTCCCCATACTATTTGGAAAAGAGTATATTTCAACAGCATTTTCAGATAATTGTAGATATTCTTCTTTGATACTAAAATAAAACTTGACAAAGGGTAGTTTCTTAAAAATAAGAGTTGCGGGCTTCCCTGGTGGCGCAGTGGTTGAGAGTCTGCCTGCCGATGCAGGGGACACGGGTTCGTGCCCCAGTCCGGGAAGGTCCCACATGCCGCGGAGCGGCTAGGCCCGTGAGGCATGGCCGCTGAGCCTGGCGTCCGGGGCCTGTGCTCCACAACGGGAGAGGCCACAACAGTGAGAGGCCCGTGTACCGCAAAAAATAAAAAAAAATAAAATAAAATAAGAGTTGCAATGTACAATCTGAAAGTGTCAAGGAACTTTTCATACTCCATTACCATAAAATCCATTTGTCTATCTTACACATTGAATGAACCTTTTGTGCATAATTTTGAACTTGCAGATTACTTAAAAGGTTCTGGGAAACCTTTATGCATACCTGGGTCACATTTTTGAAAACCGCTGCCCTAGTATAAATAACATTGTGGTATATAATAACTGTGGCAGTGAACAAATAAAGGCTGGGGCAATCATGGGGGAGGGGCAGATTCTTACCCCATATTTTACATAGAAATATACTTCAAATAAGTTGAGGAATTATCTACTTTAAAAATAAAAAGAAACCACAAAAATACTACAGGAAAATAGAGGTGGCCAGTGGTGCGCTGGTAAATGTTTAACAGTTAGCTCCTCAGAGAAAAAAGACTGATTTGTAGTGCTTGCCAATTTCTATGGTGTAAAAATTCCCACCATGGTCAATTTCAAACTATGAAGGTGATGGATCTCACTAAATGCAAACTTAGAAAGAGATGTGTACCATCAGCTCTTGTGAGCCAGTACAAGCACACTACTGGGGGTGATTTTCTGAATTCTTTTGGGGTAGAATTTTCTAATCATAAAGCAATGGAAGAAACCTCAAAATAATAAGATTATGGGTTTTACCACACATAAAATTTTAACCTCAAGGTAACCAAAACAAAATTAAAAGGCAAATTAGAAGTTCTGCTTCCAGTAATAGCAGTTGTATTGAACTAATCTTCTTGCCTATAACAGTTAGAGACTCTGAATAAAACATTGAAAACAAAACAAAACAAAACAAAACTCTTTGAAAGCACTGGAAAGCAATCAGAAGTAGGCAGAAACTAGACAGGATAAGACTCTTGAAAGAAGGAAAGTAGTTCATCCTCGCCCCTTCCTGATCATTTGGGAGAGCAAAGCAAGGTAGGTGTCTCAGTCTGGTGGGAAGGGAGAAGGCACAGTGGCCCACAGCAGGATGTTAGGGCCAGAGCATCAAGAGAAGGGTCGACCAAGTAAGAGGGCTCAAGATATCAGAGACACCAGTAAGAGATCAGAGCTTTGGGAAGGGGCCTCCCAGTATGAAGCGTCAGAGACTGAGTGGCATAGTGCAGGGTGTAAGAGCCCATATGCAGAAAGAGAAGACAGCAGAGATGGGGGGATGATTATACACAGAGAGGACATGTATTAAGGGTAATGGAAGCCAGGTTTCTAACTTTCAGAGACAAGCATTACAAATAAGGTAAGGGAGGAAAAGAATAAACTCGGTAGTGTTGGATCAGAATTAGAGGTAAAGGTGAAAAATCATATATAAATCGATATGGAAATAAATATAGATGAAAATGTGTGTACGTATGTGAATAAACACCAAAGATTCATAATCTTACCCTAATTACAAGAAACATTCAGACAAATTCAGTTTGTCCACTATTCTATAAAATAACTGGATGGTAATATTCAAAAGTGTTCAAGGTCAACAAGGCAAAAAAAGATTGAAGAACCATTCCAGACCAAAGGAGACTAAAGATACTTGACAACACATGATTCTGAACTGGATTATTCCTCTATAAAGGATATTATAGAGGAAAAATAAGTGAAACTTGAATGGGGTCCAAAGATGGATACAATGAGTGAAGAGATTAAAGGTTCAAGAGAAATATGTAAATTATATATATTTTTAAAAAACCAAATGGAAATCCAAGAACTGAAAAACACAGCATCTAAATTAAAAATCCATTGGATGAGATTAGCAGAAGATTGTTCATTGTGGTAAAAAGAACTGATGACATTGAGTACAGGTGAATATAAATTATTTAAAATAAAGCATATAGAGAAAAATATTGAAAAAAAATAAA